CCCCAACACCAAAAAAGAAAAGCAGAACAGTAACAACGTCATTTGAAACACGAGCACTTGAAAATGCACCAGAATAGCACCGCATGAAACTACAATTCATTAGCAGTTCTACATCACCATTCACCAAATATCGGAAAGCAACACAATAGCAGCACCAAAGAAGCTGATAGCAAAACCTGAAAAATGCACAGATAAGCACTTGAAATAAGGATAGGCTACCATTAACATTAAACACATATTAGCACTAGAAAAAACTAATTTACCATCAATCCATTTAATTTTGTTGTGTTTGTTGAGAGTATATCCAACCAGAATATATTTCAACTGCTACTTCTTGTCCAACTTCTTCTGGTCATATTTCAACTTGCCCCCGCCTAATCTGAACCATGAATACATATATTCTATGTTAGTATAAGTTTATTTAATAAATACCTAATTATAATATAGTTCCAGATATAGTACAGGCAGTTTTTCACGGATTGAAGTAATCTCTGGTTGCACAATATTATATTTGCAAGTTCTTTTATTGTGGCCAGGCTTGTTGCATATACTACAGTCTAGAGACTGTTGCTTCCTTTTCATCCTTGTTCGACTTGCTCCAACCTCATCAACTTCCTTTCTTCTCACTTTTTGTTTTCTTCCTCTCTTATTATTTCTTACCATCCTTGGAGGCCAAGGAGGAATTTTAGTTGATTCAGTCCACATTTGTGGCCCATTTATCGGAAGAATTGCATGTTCATAAATTCTTCTATACGTTTCTACCTTGTCGCAGTCATCCACATAGTCAAGAATGTCATCCTTCTTAGCCCAAATTGCTGCAATAGCATGCTTGCAAGGAATTCCCATGATACTCCATTTTCTACAGCTGCATGTTCGATTCTCCAAATCAATTGCCCAATTATCACGAATAGTAGCTCCTATAATCTCATAATTCCACTGATTTGATTTTCGAGGAATATATTCACCGGCTGCAATCTGATTTTTGTGTAATATGTCCTTAATATTTGGACAAACATCACCCAAACTCCATTTCTGCCCTTTCTCCCTATTAGCTAGCATTCTAGCCATGAACAGATACCGCAATTTCTCCAAAAGTGTCAAAATAGGCTTGTCTCTAGCATCAAGGATCATGCTATTAAACACTTCACACAAGTTATTAATAAAATATCACACTTGACATCTGAAGAAAAATGTGACCTTGACCATTCGCTAGGTTTTGTCATTGAGCCAAGCAACAATATTCGTATCTAACTCTGTCATCCGTAACATGCAAGCATCAAATTCTTCCATAGTAGCAGCCTTTGCAGCAGCCCAAAATACTTTTTTTAATGTGAATCCACTAAAACCAGCTCTCTTAAAATTATTATGAAGGTGCCTCGCACAAAATCTATTGCTAACATGTGGTAAAACTTCATTAAAAACTTCAATAAGACCTTTTTGTTTGTCAGACATAAAGGTCAAACCACTCGCATCTATGTCTAAATCAGCTGCCAAATGGTTCAAAAATCATACCCATGTCTCTCTACTTTTTTTCTCAATAATGGCGTAGGCAATGGGAAATATGTTATTATTACCATCAATTCTGACTGCAGATAACAATTGTGTCCCATACATTGGACCTTTCAACCAACAACCATCCACACCTATTATCTTTCTACATCCAGCCTTATAACCTTGCTTACAAGCAGCAAAACATATGTATATTCTCTGAAATCTGTATGGCTTGTTTGGTACCTCATTATCAGTAAACTTCATGTGAATTGTACTGCCTGGATTTGTCCTATCAATTTCAATGCAATAATCCCACATCATTTTGTATTGATCCTTAATATCACCATCAATCAACGCAATAGCTTTCATCTTAGCTCTTTTAGCTTGAGATAAAGTCACTTTAGCTCGTAGATCTACACTCACCCTATCTCTGAACTCAAGTAAGCTCCAACCCCTGTTTGATTTAATTTCTTTGAGGTACTTTCTTGCAATGAAGGATGATGTTATTGTTCTATTTTTATAATTCCACTCCTTGCAAGTATATTTAGGTTTGTACTTCCTAATCTGAAGCGTCGTGTCCCTTTGCATTTTATATGCCATGATTTTCCATTCGCACTCCGGATGTATACAAACAGCCTTTATTCTTTCTTTATTATTTTTCTTCCACTTGATATACTTTCCATTATTTATCTCATGAGTAGCTACTGCATTCTTAAAATCTTGCTTGCTTGCAAAAGTAATTTCCAGAGCTAAAATTGGCTTATCTCCATCTGTATGTGGGGTTGAAGTGAGGAAAATTGGATTCCTCAGTCTCGGAATCGCTATGCAAACTATTTGTGTCTGCATAATCAATACAGTCAGATTCTCTTTCTGGAGCAACCATCTTTCTCTTCACTTCGACACTAAGAATCTCGCTTTCATCTATAATACTTTCTGCAATTTTTTCATGTATATCAATAAGTAGATCATCAGACAAATCATCTTCGGAGTTACTAAAATCATCACTAGATAAATTTTTCCGCACAAATTGATGTTTGTCATTATCTCTAGCATTTGATTTATATACCGAATCCATATTTTCTATACTGAAATATGAGTCCAAGTGTTCGAAGTAAATCTCAATCACATTGTCATTCGGGATCATTCGGGATGTTTCTGCCAACTGCATATGCTTCATTATCTGTAGATACCAACCTCCATTTATTACCGAATTTTTCATACCTATACCAAGAAGTTATTGAATCCTTTGAATATCCACAAATTGCTGCCATGTTCTTGAACTCATCAAGGTTCATTTTTTCCACGTTACACATAATCAATATAGTCGATGTTGCCCCCAACATAATATTTTTCTGGCATACGTTTCATAATTCCTCCATGGTATATTTTGATGCTGACAAATGATGCCTCGGCTATCGCTTCTGAAATAATAAAAAATATATTGTGATATTTAACAAAAATAATACATATTCAATAAGACTTTAACAATAGTACATATAGAAAACGTCTAGATTTTAGGCCTCATATATATTTTTTTAAACAATAACAAAGCCGCATAGGTATTTTTTCTGAACAAAGGGTTCTCTTTACATATTCAGAAACATGCTTATTGTATAGAATTTATTTGTGGGAAGGGGTTCGATAAAAGTAAATAAAAACTCAACATAAATTGGAGTCGATTCTCTGCCACTGTAACTCCTTAAAGATATTATTGCTTCCACGGTGTTCTAGGGTTTTTTGGAAGATAAGAAACAAAGAAGAGAGAAACTTATTTGCAGTCTGATTGTTTCAAGAGGAGAAGCCCAAAGGATGTTTCAGCAATAAGAGTTTGAGTTTGGAGGGAAACATATAAGGCACACGTGATAACTTTTGTTCCGTTAGAAGACTAACGGTGGTTAGGTTTGGGACCTAAAATGTACCACTTTCTCAAAATATGTAGACTATTAATGCTCCACCCGAAAGAAATAGGATTACTTTGAGTCCAAGTCCAAAAGTACCAAACTATTTTGAGCTTTTTCTCGAAAATTTACGAACATATTTCGAGCATCATGAGTTTTATTGATGATTAATTCTTTATAAAATATCTTGTAATAGGTCATAGATTTTTTAGTCATGTGCTACCAATCAAAAGAGACAAAAAATATAAATTTTCTTATGACTGTTGCATCTATTCAAATAATTGAGGATGAAGATATATCCATATGTAACTTTAGGTTAAAGTTCTCTTACAAACAATATGGTGAATGGTCAATGCATTATATACATGCAAGTAAAAATTCTCTAATCCACCGAAAGCTCAACTTCTCCCCACATCTGCAAGGATGTGATTCTCATTAACAAACTATATTAAGTTCGATTGATTTGTATTGAAATATCACAAAATTTATAATCACATTCAAAAATACTAAACTTGTTTTTTCATCTAACTCGACGTTTCTGCATGTATTCATATTTTAAAAATTCCCTTATTAGGAAATCTTCAACATTGTTGTCATCAATGTATTTAATGATCAATTATTATGGAAGAAGGGTCACATCACCTCTTAAAATTATTCGCTCTCCCTACTCGAAGTAATAAATCACAAAAATAATGAATATGTTCTTGATTTTATAGTATTTGTTAGTTGAATCTTTTCAATCTGATGTCATAAATATATTTTCATAAAGTTTATATTTACTGTCTTTATTTTTGTTGAAGCACTTCTAGTACTTAATGGGAATCGCTTTAAGAATTCATTACTTTTCCACAAACGATTTATCAATATTCCCTCTTTGATTGGTAGAAAAATTCAACCAAAGCTTCTTATCTCCTTCCCTAAAAAAGTTATTCTTTCAGTGGAATTTGATTTGGTATTGACATTAGAAATTATTTTAAAATTTGGGTTTAATCTATTTTTTGGTGAATAATTGTGATAACTCATATAAAAAACTATCTTTAGACTAATGTAATTCTTGAAGAATTATTTCGGTTTGCCTTTCATAGGCCAAAATATACTTTTAATTCGTATTAGTATATAATCATGAACATATAAGTGCATCTGAATTCAGTCTGTAAAATTAATTATAGTTCATCTAGCATTACTTATTAGTTTGTCTATCAACATCAATTGGCACCCGAATGTACTCATATTTCACGCCATTATTACAAAGTCTTGTGCAAAAAATAAGTGTTTAACATTAACAAATAAATTATAGAAACAAATAAGTTTCTTAGTTTAGTTGGATTATTAATTCAAATGATTAAAATCAACAATTTAGCATAAACTGTAATAAATTACTTAAGTAATGAAGAATGAAAATAATTACTATGAGCCAAGTGATATATTTTAACGGTGTAAAATAATTTTGCCATTTTATAGTTTAACTTATTATAATATGTTACTGATTTTATTTTTAAGTTTTCTAAACAATAGTTATCTATTATTGCAAGTAAATTTACCTATCTAAAGTGATCGACGAAGGAATTCCTTCTTTCATATAATCATTAGTTTCATGGAAAAAGACACAAGATGATCTACCTTATGCATGGCTCGGCAAAGACGCTTTAATACCAATCAGAAGTCTAGGTTAGTTTTAAAGTCCTAATACTAAGTATTGTAGTCCTAATATTTGTAATTGAGATAGTAAACTTTTGTAAAATTCAAAGTTTAAGTGATGTTAAAGTTTCAACTGATTAAATTATAATAATCATCAAATTGAGAATAATATTGATGTTAAGTTGAAAAAAACCAATTGGTGAAGCTATAAAATTTAGTTATAATACACACATTGAATTTGGAGAGCATTGTCCGAAAAAAAGATCTTTGTTATTAGATATGTATTGCAATCAATATTTGCATTTACAATTAGTATCGCATCCCCATCTTTCTATTTGTCGTTGCTCTTTTACACACATTTGTTCATACACCTTTGAACTCACAAATATAGTTGTCGTCAATAGACCACCTTCTATAAACTTCAGTAGATTATCTGCTGATATGTTCTGTTAATCTATATTTAATTTCTTAATATGAGATATACGATTTTAGTATATCCCCATTAGCATGGGGATGAACGTATGTAGTGGTGGTGCATAGGGTTCATAGAGTATGTAATAATACTAATTAAAAACTATATATACGGTAATTTCTGGTGATTGTAAATAATGTCCTTCTAAATAGTTTATTCTGATCTCAAATCCGACGCGCGAAAGCGCTCAGATTGCTTACCGGAGATTCAACATGTTGTCTTGAGGCTTAACTATGACCATCACTGTTAGATTTTGGAAGTCGGCTGTCTGAAGGATAAGAAATGAGAAAGATTAGGGTAAAAAATGGGTTAATAAGAGGTGACACGTGGCAAGGAGAGAAGATAGCTAATAAGAGATCAATGGCTTAGATAGTGTGTAAATCCAATGGGTGAGATATTAAAAGACAATTAGATCAAACGGTGCAGAAATTAGAAGCAGTTAGAGAGACTGGGCTGTTATAACAGAATTGGGTTGGCCCAACAGAATCAGTTTTGGACTTGTATTCACTCTTCCTTCTCAATCTCTCTCTTCGATCCTTCTCTTCTCTATTCTCTCTTCTCTCATCTCTCTTATTCTTTTTCTTCCTTTCATGTTAAAGTCATCACTGGAGTTGCAGATTAATTCAATAGATTTGTAATTTCCATTGTAATTCAACAAAGTTGTAATAATCATTGTATTGAATTCTGAAATCAATAAAAGTCTACTCATTCATTTCTCAAATATTCTTATAGTTACATTTCCAAGTGGCAAGTCCATTACACTTGGTATCAGAGCTATTTTCTGGCCAAATTCACGATGACAGAAGCAGAAACAAGATCTAAATCTACAGATGAATCAGTCAAAAAGTTAGAAGCACAATTACAGAGTTACATGTTATCAAATGATTCGAGAATTGATGAATTAGGTAACAAAAATCGACAAGCTATTGGAGAAAGAGATCTCTCCACAAGGAGGAATTCTGGGAAGTGCACCAACTGAAGTAATGCAGATTATGGGGTCTGGTAATCGCACATGAGCTGGGGAAAATGATGAATCTTCATTGGGTCGATCACAAGGGAATTTCTCTCATTCAATGTGGGAAATTCCATATTTTGAGGGAGTAAATCCATGTGCCTGGTTGCACAAATGCGAGAGATACTTCCAGTACAATCGCATAACAGATCCACATCAGACACTGGAGGAAGCTGTTCTTCACCTCAATGGTAAGGCTGAATCTTGGTTCTTTTCCTATCATGTTAGCAAGGGCATAGTTAGATGGATATATTTTACCACAGAAATCCGTAACAGATTTGAAGGTGCAGCTAACAGTAAGTTGAACCTATACTTGGAAGAATTTGAAGACTTGAAAGCTTGGGTGTTAATCAGAAATCCAACTATACCAGAGGAATTCTTCTTAGAGTTTTTCTTGAAGGACTTAAGGAGGAAATTAGATACTTTATTAAAATGTTAGACCCATATTCATTCAGTAAGGTTGTGGAGAAGGCTAGACATCAAGAGAACTTAATAGAATCCTTGAACAAAAAGGAAAAAGTGCAGAGAAATAGGAGTCCAGCTACAAATTACCCTTCTCAGACCACTAGAGTCCCCAATAACTGAGTGAGTAGTCAAGGTAATAAGTTGTTTGAAATGAGGAGGGCCCAAGGACTCTGCTACAAATGTGGAGAAAAATATCACCCAGGACACCAATGCAAACAAACGCAGTTAAATGCTATCTCTGCTACCACTGATCAAGATGCAAATGAGCCGTGGGAAGCATGGGTTGAAGAAACAGACCCATACTCACAAGAAGAAGAAGTTTCGGTGTCGGCATCTTTTCCTACTTCTAACTGTTCTCCTAACCGGGCGACTGTCGGTTTTTTACTAGGTGGCCGATGTCTTTGATGTTTTGGTTTTCGCAGGAAAGGGTAAGGGTTCGTTGATGAGGCAATCGGTCTAAATGCCTTATCAGGTACTGAGGTTCCTAACACTATTAAATTGAGAGGTGAATCTAAGAAGAATAGCATGTCTATCTTGTTAGACTCAGGTAGTACACACAGTTTTTTAGATATAGATACTGCCAAAAAAATGGGGTGTGCAATCAAAGAATCCTCTCCTATGAGGGTTACTGTGGCCAATGGGAATCATGTGATGAGTTATCACACTTTTTCCACCTTTAAATGGAGGATTCA